GTCACCGCTCTTTCAACGTTTAACCCACATGGTGGGCCCATAACCCATAGTTTCACAGGATCGAAACCTAACTCTCCTTTACACCCTAGTGTCAAAGTTATTCCTCACACTTGGCTTCGTATGTAACTCACGGGCCACCTGCCACTATTCGGGTATCAGACGCAATGCTTACTCTCGCTGCTCTGAACCTCTGTCTCCCTCTGGTTCAGACTTCGAGCAACTACCTATCCGCTTGGAACCTCTTATGGTACCTTCGTACCTTACTCTCGATGTATTTTATATGTTCAACTCGAGAGATAATCTTATGCACATTCTTATGTTAACCCCAGATGGTTTCCCTCATAAACATTCTGTCTTAGCTGAGCTGCCCCTTACCTATTCGTAAGTACGATGGAGTCCCCGAAGAAAGGACGAAAACTTCATCATGATGACCTGAAACAGCGGAATGGAAGACATCAACGCTATGGATCGACCTCTTCGAGAAGAGCAACCAAAGACGAGAAGATTCGTTAGAATTTCGTAACCAAATCCCTTCCCCCCTTATAACCGCTCCTAAATCTCGGGACGAGATTTCTTGTAGTGGAGGAGAATTGTGACGCCCGGGTAATTAAACTACAGTGTTCCTCTGCTAGGGATGCCACGTCACCTCGATTATAGTTGCTAATCTCGAGTTAGTTCAAAAACGATTCAAATTAAAATTTAAAATATAGGCAAACAATAAAAGTTTTCAAATATTAAAATTTAAATGTTCGGAGTGAACCAAATAATACATAGGTAATTATGGTGGAGGAACCACACTCTTATAAAATGTGTAATTATTCTAAAATGAATAAAACAGTAGCAAAACCGATATTTAAATGCTTTTATAAATAAATAAAAAACTAAACTAAATTGTTTTGGGATAAAACCTTTTGTGGCAGTGGTTTCATGGTATTACTAATTTAGGGATCATTTTAATATTAAGTAAAAAGTAAACTTAAAAGAAAGTAAAATAAAAACAAAAAGAAAATAAATAGAAAGAAAAGGAAACACAAAACCAGAAAAGAAAACTAACAAAAAAAAGAGGAAGAAAGACCCCCCCCCACTGGACCCTTGGCCCAACTGGGCCGTGGCCCAGCCGGCCATCCCCTGGCCTATAGGCCACCCCACCCCCTGCCCCGAAACCCTAACGCCCCCACTCCCCACGACCGCAACCACCTCCCCACTCCCTCGTCTCTCTCTCTCATCCGATCCAGATCGGATCGGGCCATCCCCGTCGCCCCGCCGCCGTTCACCATCGCCGCCACCGCCCA